GGTTACTCATCCATGGATTTGCATCCAAAATATTTTCAGGGTTTCTCACCCAATAATGGATTTTGTATCCAATGATGGGTTTTCTCACCCATGGATTTCTTATCCCAAATAAATTTCAGGGTTTCTCACCCAATAATGAATTTCGTATCCAATGATATTTCGGGGTTGCTCACCCATTAAATTTGATTTATGAGTTTGACCCCAAAACGGATTCATCATCCATAGAATTTGGTTAATGGGTTTTATACCCAAGCAAGGAGGACTACAGGAGGGGAGCCTTGATTGCTTCTGTCATGGCTCTATGTTGTGCTACCTTTGATATGGACAGTTGCATATGGAATTGCCTCTGTCATTTTGTTTCAGCACAGATGTGCTCCATTCTTCCCCAAGGCCTTGCGGCTTCCTTTTTTTTTCTTTCCTGCCAGCCGTCCCCTTTGTATCCTTTTCATTGCCTTTTATACGCTTACTTTGGATCAGAACCAATTAGAGGACTTTCAATTCTTTTTCCCTTGAAGATCAGCTGAGCCCCACAAATATCGGAACCGCCAACCTCTCTTGAGATTGGCTGGTCAAACTCCCATTTGTTCTGAACTCCTTTCTTTCAGCTAGATTACCAAGCTTCAAGGAAAATGAGGGCACTTGCATGTGGGATCAACCCCACTAATCTTAGGCTTTGAAATTTGAAAAGCACATGGGATAATTGGATTTAATTGCCTTTTTTTTAATTTCTTTGAAACACTTATCATCTATATTAGATAAGGGTTGCTGGACATGAGCTTAGACAAACACAACCCATGTGATTTTTTTTGTTCAACATTGGCTATATATATCTGCCAAATATAGTGTAATTGAGAGAGTTGAGAATGTAGAACAAGAAGAACAAAATAGGTTTTGCAGAGAATTCAAATCTGCCAATTGAATTACTTACTTGGTGAAGAGTTAGATATACAAGTATACAAGGTGATTATTAGTTACAAACAATGCACAAGACATGGAGGGAAACATGGAGAGTTTCCATCCCTAAAACAAGGAAGAAGAAAACAAGGAAAAGTAACAAGGTGGTAGACAAGCCATTTAGGGATGTCTATGTTTTGTCTTTGTCTTTACTAACACTCCCCCTCAAGTTGGTGCAAAGATATCACGCATGCCCAACTTGTCCAGTGAGTCATGGAAAACTTTACTTGATACGGCCTTCGTCAGGATGTCAGCAAGTTGGTTTTCCGAGTTTACAAATGGAAACTTGATTATACTCCTTTCTAGTTTCTCTTTGATGAAGTGTCGGTCGACTTCCACATGTTTGGTACGGTCGTGTTGTACTGGGTTATGTGCTATCTCGATAGCTGATTTACTGTCGCAGTACAAGTTTGTAGCTTTCAATGGTTTAATTCCCAGATCCTTCAGTAATCTCCGTAACCAGAGCAATTCACAAACTCCTTGAGCCATTCCCCTAAATTCTGCTTCAGCACTTGATCTAGCCACAACTTTTTGCTTCTTACTTCTCCAAGTGACTAAGTTGCCCCCCACAAATGTAAAGTATCCAGAAGTAGAACGTCTATCTGTGATGGATCCTGCCCAATCCGCATCTGTGTATCCTTCTGGGTTCATATGTGTATGTTTGGAGAATATCAACCCTTTGGCAGGGGCAGCCTTCAAGTACCTCATGATCCGAGTTACTGCATTCATGTGTGCCTCACTTGGTTGATGCATAAACTGACTCACCATACTCACAGCATAAGCTATGTCGGGGCGTGTGTGTGATAGATAAATCAGTCGCCCAACCAATCTTTGATACCTTTCTTTGTCAGTGGGTACTTGGTCTGGATACATCCCTAACTTGTGGTTCTGCTCAATAGGTGTGTCAGCTGGCTTACAATCAAGCATTCCAGTATCTGTTAACAAGTCTAACACATATTTTCGTTGGAATAGAAATATGCCATGTGTTGATCTAGCAACTTCTATGCCAAGAAAATATTGTAACTCACCTAATTCCTTCATCTCAAATTTACTAGCAAGGAGCTTCTGCAGATTCTTCATTTCTTCATTGTCATTACCAGTAACCACCATATCATCAACATAGATGATAAGGGCCGTAAGTTTGTCACCACGACGCTTTAAGAATAAAGTGTGATCCGAGTGGCTCTGAGTGTACCCAAAGCGCTTCATAGAATCTGTGAATTTTCCAAACCAGGCTCGTGGTGACTGCTTTAGCCCATATAATGATTTTCTCAGCTTGCACACGGTGTTGGGACCAAGTGCCATGGAGATCCCTGGTGGTGGTTCCATATACACTTCTTCTTGCAATTCCCCGTGAAGAAATGCATTCATTACATCATACTGCAATAGTGGCCAATCAAGGTTTGCAGCCAATGACATGAGAACACGTACGGTATTGATCTTGGCAACAGGTGCAAATGTCTCTTGGTAGTCAATTCCATACGTTTGTGTATACCCTTTGGCCACTAATCGAGCTTTGTATCGATCTATGGATCCATCAGCTTTGTATTTAATGGTGTATATCCACCGACATCCAACGGGTTTCTTCCCTTGTGGCAACTGGACTATTTCCCATGTAGAATTCTTTTCCAGAGCTTCCATTTCAATCGCCATTGCTTCAGCCCATCTGGAATCTGTTATAGCATCCTGCCACTTATTTGGAACACATACAGTAGATAATTGATTGACAAATGATGCATATGACTTTGACAATCTATGAGTTGAAACATGGTTATTAATGGGATATTTAGATTTGGCAGTAAGGTCAGGACAATATTGAGGCTTGGGTTTTCCTCTAGTGGTCCTAGGTGGGAGAGTGTATGGTATAGCATTAGGTGCTTCGGGAATTACCTCAAGTGTTTCCTCATCACGAGACGACTGGTCCGATGGTTGAGAAGAAGGGGTTGGATTTTGTTGTTGATCGCAGCAACCATTTGAATTGTCTCCTCCGGGATCTTCACCAAATAAGAACGACAATTTTCCAATACCTTCATCGCTGCCCAAATTTTGAAGTTCACTGGTGCTTGGCGACCGGTCGCTGGGTTCTGTGCGACCGGTCGTTTTGTCACAAAGTCGATTTTCCTCCCTGGAGTCTGGACGACCAGTCGCTTCTATATTACGACCGGTCGTTTTGTCACAGAGTCGATCTTCATCATCCCTAGAGCAATGCGACCGGTCGCTGTGGTCAGTGCGACCGGTCGTTTCAGGAAAGCGACCGGTCGCTTCTGGGTTGCGACCGGTCGTTTTGTCACAGAGTCGATCTTCATCATCCCTAGAGCAATGCGACCGGTCGCTGTGGTCAGTGCGACCGGTCGTTTCAGGAAAGCGACCGGTCGCTTCTGGGTTGCGACCGGTCGTTTTGTCACAGAGTCGATCTTCATCATCCCTAGAGCAATGCGACCGGTCGCTGTGGTCAGTGCGACCGGTCGTTTCAGGAAAGCGACCGGTCGCTTCTGGGTTGCGACCGGTCGTTTTGTCACAGAGTCGATCTTCATCATCCCTAGAGCAATGCGACCGGTCGCTGTGGTCAGTGCGACCGGTCGTTTCAGGAAAGCGACCGGTCGCTTCTGGGTTGCGACCGGTCGTTTTGTCACAGAGTCGATCTTCATCATCCCTAGAGCAATGCGACCGGTCGCTGTGGTCAGTGCGACCGGTCGTTTCAGGAAAGTAACATCCCGACCCAAAATATTATTAAGTTTGGTTTTAATTTAATTAAAATTTGGAATTTCCAATTTTTGCCTTTGAAGTGAGGGCAAAAAGGTCAATTTTTATCCGGAGAGAGTTTGGAGCAGCAAGTGGTGTTTTTAGAAAGGTGGAACTGAGCCGAGTCCGTAGACACACGGTAGGCTCGATTCGGATTTGAAACGAAGAAGTTATGGTTGAAAAACCATTAAGGGCTTGATTGGAAATTTTCAGAAATGAATTTTGTTAAAATCAGAAAATCTGATTATTTCTCATTTCCCTCTCTCTCTCCCGTGCGTCTCTCTCTCTCCCGTCGACTCCCTCTCTCTCTGCAAAACCCCCAGCCACCACCACTGACCACCGTAGCCCCCACCGTCGGAGCCAAGCTCACCGGCCCGGCCCTGCCGTCTCCTCCCCCGCCATCTCTGCCGTCGCCAGCCGCTGCAGCCTCCGGAAAACGCAGCAAAAGCTGCTGGAAAATTTCAGAAAAGTCATGAAACTTCAACACTTTCGTTCTCCTTCGTTTCTCAACCGATTTTGACAAGTAAGGTATGAAATTTCATCTATTTTTCGTGCTCTAGCTGCCTGTTGGTTAGGTTTCCAGAAATTTTGAGAGTTTACAAGTTAAATTTCGAAGTTTAGCTACAGCCGATTTTCAGTCGAAATTTCCGGCCACTTCCGGCCATTTTCTGGCCTTCACCCAAGAAGAAAAGTGGTTCCAAATTAGGTGTATTACCTAGGTTAGGAGTTTGGAGCCAAAATACTAAGTTTTTCCGGTCA